GACAGAGAAAAACATGACTCTTAAATTAAACACAACTTTTAACTTTTAATTTACCACAAAATAAACTTCCAAGTAATTTATTTTTTTAACTTGAAAAGACTTTATTTTTTTAACGAAGACAGCACTTAAATCTAAACATTGTATGTGTGACTGGAGAGGAGTCCTGAGGAGATCCTAAACCATGAGTTCCCCTCAGGACTTTCTCTGCTCCATCAACTCTACACCTTTATGGCTCGACATAATTCAGCCTCCACAAAAACAACATTTTACAGTAGAATTTACACACTAAAGACCATAAAAAAGACAAAACTGTTTCTTTTCAGCACATTGTGTGATTCTGCAACTCAAAACCAAACCAATTAAAAAAAACTCCTCCTGCATAATTTAAACTGTTATTTGAGACAGGCATCTGGGACACCACTAAAGATTTCCAAATAAGGACTAAAGGAATCTCAAAGGAAACTTTTCTGCATCAAAGAGAGAAAGTAATATAGTTTTATGTTTTTTAGTTGCAAACTGAGTCACGTTATGTCGCATCACACAGTAAAACGATGTCTTCTGAAGCTTCTGACCCTTGCTGAGTTTGGTTTTGCGAGCTGTGTGATGAGCTGAAGCTCTTTGTTCTGTCCTGTGCACGTGAGGACATTCTGACTCTTTCCAGATGCCAACTTCTGCTGCAGGATCAGCGACGCAAGGAGGTCATTGTTGTTGACAGACGGATTAATCCTCAGTTCCCATCCTGAAAAGTTGGACTGGACAGGAAGTCACGTAGGATCAGGGTCAAGCCTTTTGACCCTGCCATCAGTTTCCTGAACCTATAGAAGGATTGCAGAGCTGAACCTAGCGATGGGGGCGAGGTCATCTGGAGTGCTGCAGATGTCTGTTTGCATCTGCTCAGTTCAGGAGGCGCAATCACATCTTTAATTTGTTCTGCAGCCCAGCTGGAGCCCATGACCAGCTGATTTCATGCTTTCGATGTTTACTCTCTTCTGAAGCTGCTCAGGTTTATGTTTCATGACTAAAGATGTTAACAAACACGTTGTTTCTGCACAGAGAACAAATAAAAATCTGTTTAATTTTCCATGGCACTTTTAGAGCAGGATGTTTTATTTAGTTCAGATCTGAACAGGATCTGAGATTTAATGTTGGAATAATTCCCTTCTCTGTTTTATTTAGATTATTCCTCAGTTTGCAGAAGTTTCTAATCCATCATATTTACAGCATCTGGTTTAAGTTTAGCCAGTATTTTGGGTGTTTTACACTCAGAAGTAATTTGCACCAGCAAAATTGTCCGTGGTAAAGTCTTTATTTGTATTTGGGGCAGCAGCCGCTCAGGAGGTGGAGTAGATTGTCCAGTAGTCGGAGGGTTACAGGACGCTAACCACTGCACCACTGTGCAGCCCCTCACAATCGTGTTTTATACAAATAAATAAATAGAGAATGTTAAAATACTTTCCTCTGGAGGTGTCCTTCAGATTTATTTTTTTATTTATTTGTGATCATGCGGCATCAGAATGTTTATGGAGCACACCGAGAGAGGGAGGGAGGGGTTGAGGGAGCAAGTGGCAGGACGCTGCGTTACTTAGGTTACGCGTGGATATTTATTCATCAATTAGTTTTATTATGGAGGTCATTTTGTGTATTGAGAGGAAATTCTATTGTGACATTAAGAAACCCCATTAAGACAGTTGTAAACCTCCACATTGCAGCTGCAACTGTGCCACCCCTGCGGTTCATAATCAACAGCTAAAAAATGGTTTTCATATTTCCATTTTATGTTTAAATAAAATTAATAACACTCACCAAAGTTGCTGATTGTTTACAGACATAAACCATCCTCCTCTCTGTGCAGGAAGAATTCAATAACTTTGTCGTAAAGCCGTCTGCATTTTAGTTCCATCAGTAAGTCCTTTTCTTTGGCCTTGGAGGCCAATGCTGAGTCGCCTCTGGCTGAGACAAAGTAGCTAGTGACGGGGTCGAGCAGCCTCTCTGGAAAAGTCTGTCTTCAGATCAGTGTCTTCTTCTGCGTTAACCACTGAGGGCACAGGATAAAGAAAATATCAGTGTTTGCAGAATGCTGAAAATATACTTGGCTAGCAAAACTAGGCAGTAATAGCGCGCTGCTCTAATCATCCAATCAGAGGACGGAAAACCCTGCAGGTCACTGCAAGCCTTCCAGAAGTCCCAGTGAGGTGAATCTGACAGCTGATTGGTTAATAAAACAATTATCTTGCTATACAATTTAAGGACGGTCTGCACTGTGGATTCTGAAGGCCCTTAGAAGATTAAATTCTCCCTGGCAACAACAGAAACTGAAATATGATTGGACGAAACATCGAAAATCCACAGACGTGCAGAAGATGCAGTGCAGCCATGAGAAACTTTCCCAGAAAATAAAATACAACATTGAAAGTAGAGTAATACATTTTAATTCAACTAAAAGATTATTTTGGTTGTATTCAATTCAAATTCAAATTCAAAAATACTTTATTAATCCCAGAGGGAAACTGATTGCTGTAGTAGCTCAGAATAATAATAATAATCAAGTCATCAAAGAGTTGTTGTATATTACAATGGCTGTTGGCAGGAAGGATCTCCAGTAGCTGTCAGTGTTGCAGCCAAACTGAAGAAGCCTCTGACTGAAGACACTCTTCCGTTGTCGGACAGTCTTGTGAAGAGAATGCTCAGGGTTGTCCATCATCTTCTTTATTCTCTGGAGATATATGTAGATTAGTCATTCTGATCAGGTGAGACCAGCAGAGAACACCTTGCTGGGCCTGACTGATCACCACTGCTGGCTACCAGTAAACTAGAACCAAATTCAAAGTTCCTCTATTAGTTTATCAATCACTCTGTGGCATATGGCCAAAATACATGTTAGACCTCCTTCCAGTACATACACCCAGAAAGGCTCTGAGATCCTCAGGAAGCAGTCAGCTGGTAGAACTTCGGGTCAGAACCGAACAGGGTGAAGCTGCTTTTAGTTACTGTGCTGCACACAGATGGAATCAGCTTCCTCATGACCTCCAATCTGAGGCTCAATCCCAATACTCTCACTTCTACACTTGCACCCTTCAATTGCGCAATCCCGGCCAGGGGTGTGAGTGTACAGGGTGACCCAGTTCTCAAGTGCGGGAGTTGATCACCCCCCTTTCAAATCAATGATCCGCACGGCCCAATCTCAATACTCGCACTGCACCCTGCAGACTTCAGCACAGTGCACTTGGAGAAAGTGCGCTGCAAGGCTTTGGGTGCGTAGCACACAAGTGTGCAAATAATTGCAGAATTGAGACGGGGAGCATTGCGTCATCGGTTGCAACGCGTGCCAGCATGCTGGCCGCTGTGATACTTATTTCAAAAACCTTTATAAACAAATTTTAAACAAACAGCCAAACAGTTATTTTAAATAAATTTACATGTATTGCTGCTTTGTCTAAAAGTTTTAGAGCATCAACTGATCGTCCTAAAATTAACTACTTTCATTAGAAAATACATATTTTCAGAAAAGTAACTTGAGCCTTTTCTCCTGCAGCAACGACTTGTGGGTAATACCCTTGCCCGAGGTTCACGTCGCTGTGGACTTGGGTGAGGTGCAGATTAAGGGTGCAATGGGGGCGTGGCCAACTTCTGCACCTGAGAATCGAGACACCCTACTCACTCGCACCCCTGGCCGGGACTGTGCAATTGAAGGGCGCGAGGGTGCAAGTGCGAGTATTGGGATTGGGCCCACTTTACCCAAGATGCGGACTTGGGTGAAGTGTATTACCCACAATCCATTGCTGTGGGAGAAAAGTGCCTTTTCTGAAAATAAGTCATTTTTTAAATGAAAGCAGTTCATTGTAGGATGATTAATGTATGCTTTGGATGTTTGGTTGGTTGTTTGAGAGTTGTTAATAAAGGTTTTTGAAATAAGCAGCACAGAGACAATTTCCCACTTCGACAATTACGTGCACACCTGTATGTCATGAAATCAAAGCCTTACTGCACACTTCCTCCAAGTGCACTTCACAGAAGCCTGTAGGGTGCAAGTGCGAGTACTGGGATTGGGCCTGAGAGTTGCCATTTTTCTGCAGCCAGGTCCTCTCACAACATCTTAACCCCCAGAAACCCAAATTTAGAAAACAACTGCAAAATCTTTTTTTAACATTTCACATGTTGTTCTAGGAGGCCAGATAAACGGGCCTAATTACACATTTTAACAGCCAATAGTGTTGCAGAACTGAACAATAGGACCTATTAGCAGTGTAAATGTGATATTAAAAAGAAAAAAAAATGGGGAAGGTTTATTTTTGTAGACTTAAATCTGATGTTGTAATATTACAACTGTGGGTCTCTGGGGGTTAAACATTTTTCACACTCAAAAAAAAAAACAATCTCAAACTTCCTCTTCAGGATTAATTAGATTTTTAACAACACGTTAATGTTCTTCAACTTCAGATTTTTGTTCTCTAAAAAAAACTAATACAGTTGCTGATACACAATTATTTGTAGAACTATTTTTAAACTTCAATACTGTAAAATACAGCAAATTATTCTGTGTTTGTGCTCTTCACGGAGTCAAATTTCACTTTCCAGGTCTGTTAGTCCAGATGCTGTAAACTGCTGCCCTCTGCTGTTCCTCATAACAAGAAGCTACACTGATAATCCCACCTGGGCACAGAGAATGAGCCATCCTGCTGGTTCTTCTCCTTCCAAACACACAAACAAGGTACACTTAGAGAAATAGTTTTCTGTAATTTGCTGAGAATAAATGCTAAACAACATAATCTGTTGTCAGTCATTTCAAAAAAAGGTTATTTTTCCTATTTTTTTTTTCGCAGAGTTCTGTTTCTACAGTGTTTTCTGAGTAGCTGTTTAGTGGTGTACTTCAGCTCCCGCTAAACCAGATGGCTTCCTCTGCCAATCCCTCCTCACAATCAAGATTAGGATTACACCAAGTGCACACATGCACGCACAGACACACACACACACACACACACACACACACACACACACACACACACACACACACACACACACACACAGTAACTGCAAATGATGAGAATATGATACAGCATCAGTTGTGGAGTACGAGAAGGAGCTTAAACCTGAATCAGAAGTTTGAGGTGGATTAAAGTATTTTTAACATATCTGAGGAGCTCAAGTGAAACAGAGAAGAGGGAGACAGAGGAGAGGTGAGGAGGACAAGGGGAGGGTGGGGGTGAGAGCTGTGGGAAGGACAGATTGGAGAGGATAGAGGAAGAAGCCCTGATGTCACCAGGATTGTTCATCAGTAAGCAGGAGCTGTCAAGACGTTCTGCCTTTCCTTCCCGCCAGGCGTCGGTTCTCCAGGCCCTCCGGGCCACCCAGCATGAAGGAGACACCATGGGCTTTCTGGAAAACTATCAGGAGATTGATCCAGTGACTTTGAACCTTTGCATCCTCATTGCCAGCTACGTTATCTTGCTCCTTGTCTTCCTGATATCCTGTATCATGTATGACTGCCGGGGCAAAGATCCCACTAAGGAGTACGCCCCGGACCCACAGCCCACCCAGTCTCCCATCAGGCTGGTGGTGATGCAGAGCTCCTCTGCGCCAATGGGACGGTGGGACACGGCCAACATGATCACCACCTACCACGAACCATCACACTCAGACTACAGGGAGAAGAAGAGCACGATGGTCTGACAGGCTCTAAGCCGATAAAGTCTGTCTTTTGTACACACATTTCTTTTTACGTTTCTTTTTTATACGCACATGATGTTTGGACTTGATCTACACACGATCAGAATCAAGAGGTAAGAGAGAGCATGTGTTGGTGTACTGTGTGGTGGAAAGATCCCTCTTTAGCTGAAGGATCTGAACCCAGTGCCTGCTGTATGCTCCGGGAAGGAAACGTCACGGCTAATAGAGCTCAGGGAATAAAGAGGGCTGGGTCCAAGGAGGGCTTTAGGATTAAGGTCAGGGTTTGGAAAACATTCACCAAAGAGCTATTGATCACAAACTGGTGGCATGCCTTAGTTTAGTTTTAGAACTAAAAACTTTTAAGAGAGGCTGCACAGTGGCTCAGTGGTTAGAGCTGTTGCCTTGCAGCAAGAAGGTCCTGGGTTCGCTTCCCAGCCTGGGATCTTTCTGCATGGAGTTTGCATGTTCTCCCTGTGCATGCGTGGGTTCTCTCCGGGTTCTCCGGGTTTCTCCCACAGTCCAAAAACATGACTGTTAGGTTGACTGGTCTGTCTAAATTGTCCTTAGGTGTGTGTGTGTGTGTGTGTGTGTGTGTGTGTGTGTGTGTGTGTGTGTGTGTGTGTGTGTGTGTGTGTGTGTGTGTGTGTGTGTGTGTGTGTGTGTGTGTGTGTGTGTGTGTGTGTGTGTGTGTGTGCATGGTCGTTTGTCCTGTGTGTCTCTGTGTTGCCCTGCGATGGACTGGCTCTCTGTCCAGGGTGTACCCCGCCTGATTGCCCATCGACCGCTGGAGATAGGCACCAGCCCCCCTGCGACCCTACGTGGACAAGCGTTTTCAGACGATGGATGGATGGATTTTCAAGAGTTTCTTATACTAGAAGTTGTTGGACTTTGCACCTTTTACTCGACATGAAACCTGAGAAATCACTGCTGCTCTGCTGATGGTCGGCTGTTATTGAGAGCTCCTACATAAAAACTGTTTATCTTACGTCATTTACAAACACGTGGTTCTGAATAAAGGTTCTCAGAAGGGTCCAGGGTCAGTAAAGACATCCCCCTCTCAAAGCTTTATTTGTAAATTAAATGTTTCTGATCCAACACATTGGTTTAAAAAGTAGTTTTCTAATGTTGATTTCACTCATTAGGAGAACAGAATCATGCAAACCCACCTGTTGCTGTGTGGAGGAATGTTGTCCCACTCTTCTATGCAGAATTGCTTTACTTCAGGTACACTGGAGAGTTTTTCAGTGTGGTCGGCCTGTTTAAGGTCAGAGGTCAAACAGTCTCCTCAAGGATGTTCTTGTATAAAGCATAAATCATGGTTCCATCAGTCAGATAGATCCATCCATCCATCTATCTAGTCAGGTCCATTAATATTGCGACATCTACACAAGTCTAACATTTTTGGCTCTGTATACACCACCACAGTGGCGTTTGAAATGAAACAAACACGCTGTGCGTTCCAAAGCTGCGAAGGCTTATTTAGATGACATTTGACTAACGTTACTGGTTTTGAGGCTCACCAGTGGTTTACATCTTGCGGTGAACCCTCTGGTGAAGTCTCCTCTTGACTGTTGACTTTGACGCACGTCCAGATGTTTTCTGTGGTCTTCCGGGTCTTTTGGTGTCGCTTAGCGCTTTGGTGCGTTCCTCCTCTGTAAGAATGACCCAGACGGTTGTTTAGGCCACGCCTAATGCTTTTGCTATCTCTCTGATGGGCTTGTTACGTTTTGTCAGACCAACGATGACTTGCTTCACTGATAGTGACAGCTCTTTGGATCTCATCTTGAGTTGACCGCAACTGATTCCAAAAGCAAATGGTACACCTGAAACGAACTCTGGACCTTTCATCTGCACATTGTAATTGGGATAATGAGGAATATCACACACCTGGCCACGGAAACTGTGGTTTTTTCTTTCCCTCTGCTGTGTACCACATCAAATTCTTAGTTTTTCTCCGTTGCTTTAGTGCATTTCTCACGACAGAATGGAAATTTGCACCACTGTCAAGGCACTTCTCAAAACAATTAGTGCAAACTGCAAAACATGGTAGATAACTTGCAAAAGTTAGTCACCTCAAAACTAAAGGTCAGTTGCTCAAAATGAGTAGTTCACGCTTCAAAAGTAAGTCCCTTAATCAAAATGGATCATATGTTCATCAAAAGCAAGTATTTATATCAAAGAGTCAGTGCTGTCAAAATCACGAGTCGTTAAACCAGCATCTCTAGTCACAAAATCAAATGGTTTGAACATGTTTTCATTGTGACGGATTACTTTGTAGGAGCTTCCCAATGACATGTCAAGTCAGGACAGCTCGCTTGGCATTTTGAAAACTAGAAATTGTAAAGGAAAATCAAGACACTTAATATGCACTCTTCTTCATAATATTTACTTGCAGCTGTTCACAGCATTGTGCAGCTGGGGAAATAAAAAACAAACATTAACAGATATAAACTCATGTACACAGTAAACCTTACTGCAATAGTTATGAAACCAAAAAAATACTGAAAAACAGACAGTCCTGCATATCAGTCTTTTACATCTAGAGTCTGTCTGCCCACATATTTTCATCAACATCACAGCGAACGTCAGCTCTATCGATGCATTGGGGGAAGTATCTTCTGGAGTGTTGAATCCACCCTCTGCAGGACTCTGCTGTGATGTCATCACAAGCTGCATCCATAGCTGCTAGCAGGGCCATTTGGGTATGTGGATGCCTGTCATATACCTTACACCTCCAGGAAGAGAAAAACTCCACAACTGGATTTAGGAATGAAGTGTAAGGTGGAAAAAAACTCCACAAGCATCCTGTCGTGTGCTGCAAACCACTGCCTGACCACAGCAGAGTGATGGAAGCTGACATTACCCCAAACCACTACATGCATTGTCTGATTGTCACCAGGCTCATCCCTTTCATTTTCTGGGATTAGGTTTCAATAAAGAGCGTCCAGAAAAGCCAACAGGTGTTGTGTATTGTATGGACCAATACAAGCAAAATGGGTGTGGACGCCGTCTTCTGAGATTGCTGTACATGTTGTAATATTTGCTCCTTGTTGGCCTGGGACACCAATGATGGCTCTTTGTCCAATGCAATTTCGTCCACGCCGTCTGCCTTTTTCCAGATTGAATCCCGCTTCGTCAAGATAGACCAACTTGTGCAGTGGTTCACTGGCCTCCAATTCCAGGATACACTATACAGAGGGTGAGAAGGAAAAAGCCTGTAATGGTGCATTTGGCACAGCAGATTATACAGTTTGAATTGTAAATAAGGTTACAGTAACATATGCAAGTGCAGCGCATAGCCTAAAATTTTACAGTAAAGAACTACAGTAAACAGAGGTAAGTATGCAGACATGTGTTACCTGTACATACTGGTGACGGAGCTCCTTCACTCGGCCACTGTTCCGTTCAAACGGTACTTTGTACTATTGCTTCATGTTTCATTCCATCTGAGGACTCTACAGTGGAAACTGATGTTGACTGAATATTTCCGAAGATGGTGCCATTTTCTAGGACAGTTCTTTGTATTTCTTGCAATCTCAAAGTGTTATTTGCAGCCACCATTGCACAAATCCCTGTCTCTAGCTGCGGAGTCAAAATGGGACCTCTTCCACCTCTTCTTGGTTGTCTGGCAATCATTTAAGGCGCAGATAAAAAATAAAAAAAAACACAGACATAAATAAGCGCTAACATGCTTACAGTAATTGTTACAGCACTGTCATTCAATACTCCTTTCTTTACAGTATTACTGTACTGTACCACAGCACACTATGCTACACCAAGTCTGAGCTACAGTTACTGCACGTCTACATGTAAAAGTCTATAAGGTCATGTCCTAATGTAAGTCTCCTGTATGACTAGGATAGTGTTTGTGCTGAATAACTAAATTACAGTATGCTCACCTGTTCTCCTGTTAAAATGTCTGAATAATAGAACTTACAGTAGTTCTCCAAACACTTGGCTGCACCCTTCGACCAGCCATGGCCATTGTGAGACCATGGTTTATCACATGACCCACAATTATCACCCCTCTTCCACAAGGCTGACCTTCCATGTTCTGCAGTTTTGAGGATACAGTATACACCTCATGCCAATCCTTTGTACTGGTTTACAGTATTCATATATACTTGTAAGGTAGGGGTTAATGCGGCCCACCCACAGTTACATCAAGTCACCCACACACAAAACACACATCCACACACACAGCATATATACCAAGTAGTGTTTCTATGGTGACATTGTGATTTCTTAGTAAATATTCTATTTGGTGAGAGATAAACTTTATTGTATTTATCCTAGTGGATCTATAAACGGATAAACTAGTAGTAGCACATTCTATGTCAAGGAAAGTAACATGTTATTATCAGAAGAGGGAGAATGTTGAAGTGGTTAGCAGCAGTGTTCTGTAATAAGCGCTGAATGTTCCAGCCTGCATCATCATGGGCATAGTTGATATTAGTGCCGTTTATTTTGTAAATCTGACACTCAGAGCAGACACTTACAAACATTTTTGCAAACTCATTTCTAGCATGTTCTTTTGTGGTCTTTGCATTTCAGAAAAGTGAATACCACAGATAAAGAACACACTCAAAGTTACCGTAAATCCTCTAATGTTGGCCTGTATTCAATTAACGGCCAGGTACCATATTTTGGCCGGTGCCGGGGTCGGCTGAGGTGAAAAATGGCTGGTATCTTATTGTGGCCGGGTGGAATGTGGTAACAAGCAAGTACCACGGGGGGGTGTCTCACTTTTGATTTGCCAGTGATAGATCGCGAGGGTAACTTTAACCGTGCGGAGACGAAGAGGAGGCAAAAATTTGACATCAAGTTCAAAGAGAACGTGCTGATTATGCTGCAGAACACTCTGGGGAGCAGTAGCAGGGGTTGTATGAACTAGTCACTAGTCGACTTCACTATAGTGACTTTTTATGCCTGTCATCGACTAGTCGCTGTCACGTGATAATGACCGGCAAGATGCAGTCCTCGGAAAAGACATCAGGCTGCTGTCAACAGGTGACAAGCTCCTGCGCGTCGGGAGGCAACGCGCTGTGCCAGAGCGTCGGTACTGACACCCGCCGTAAAATGGACATTTAACCAAATCGTGACCTTTACCCTCTTGCAATTTAACCTTCCCCTCACCCCCATCCTAACCTTAACCAGCGTGCACATGCAAAGCTCTGATTGTTGACGCGCTCCAGACATCTGCGTCCTGAGCACAGCCACAGTAACATTATCAAATCAGGTGTCGCCACCTCAAAAACTAATTTAACACGCGATCGTTCATGTCGGCTCATTTCCTTTTATGTTCTCTTTCTTTTATTCTTTTATTTGTGCCTGATGCGTTTCACTGCTGTGGAGCGGGGCGCATCACCTTGTCCTCCGGTGACGCACCGATCACTGATGCGGCCGCCAAGCAGCGAGCACTCTGCTGTTTATGCGGTTGGTAGATCTTTTAGAACTGCAGTTCAAAGGTAACTCATAAGGTGAATATATATGAAGCCAGGTAGCAGTTTCTCTTTAGGACTGAGAGGAGATGCAGGAAGATAATAAACAGGCAGGACAGAAAAATAGTCAAATAAAAACAAGTTAGTTTTTGTACCTGCTGGTTGCAGCAAACAGACACCATTGAAGGTAA